ATAATGGATGTTCCACCCAAACAATGTCTGCAGTCTACGGATCCTCCTTTTCTGTGAAATAACAGAAAGCTTTGTCTCACTAGAAAGCAGAGACAGCCATTTCAAGCTAGAAAATGGAAGTTGAAAGATCTAAATCTTTGCACGCTTCAGTTCTCAAGCAATCACATAAACATCTGCACCTCGAGAATGACATGAGAGAAGGGGGATCCCCGTTTGAAAAGATGAAAGCAACAACCTCCACTGCTTGAACAGTGAATAAACCTCATTGAGAAAAAAGGAGATTTGCGAAAAAGCATCTGCCTTCCAGCAATTCGACAAACTGAAGGTTATCATAGGTTGTAACAGAGTTTCATAGCATGTATTGAATGAATATGACGGCATATATTTTTTAGTACAAGGTTCAGGCATAGGCACCGTTCGCTAGGTAGAGGGGATAGCCTGAAAGGAAAATGTACCAAACTTATTGGAATATGGATCACAGTACTTCATGCTTCACTACAGTATACTCACCTGTCGACGTACAAGTCTTCGAGTATTTAGTTTAAATTTGTCAATGGCTTCTTGTAGTAATACTTTTAGTTGGTTTGTTGGAAGGGATGCCAAGGTCAACCCAGTGTTTTCTTTCAACCTATACTCATCATGAGAACGGCTTGTTTCGGAGTCCCCAACGTCTGCAATGTAAACCCGCAGAAAATTCTCGAACTCTCGTACCCCAATTGCCTGGCGCAGACCTCGAGTATAATCTGAGTTTGGGCAGTAGATGTCATAGACTTCATTAAGCAATCCAGCTTCCACCATGCAGTCAACTCTATCCTCCACATATCGATCGAGAACAGGAAGACATGCATCCACACATATAAAACAGCAATCATACTTGGAATTCTCAATACGCCCCCAGTTCTGCCCTGCCACAATGAAAGGAAAGGGTATCCCTTCCTAGCTTAGTGCTATGATGTATGAGGATAAAAATTTTAGTAAGCACTTCTGGGGAGTGTGTCTAGAGTGGATTTTACTTGACTTTTTTGCTTTTTCAAATCTTTCCGCACGTGCATCTTGATTTTTTTCCATCTTGGGTGCTTGAAATTGTCACAATATATAGATGTTGACACGGTAACTCATATATATTATTTTCACAATTTTTTAAAGCTCAATAATATTTCAATTTTGCGGGAAAATCAAAATAATTACTTTTTAATTTGGAGAGGTCAAAACAAGCAAACCCTAAATTTTCTTATGAAGAATCATTTCAAATTATTACAAGCTCCAGAATCCAGAGATCATATTCGCATCAGAAGCTATTAATACATGATGTGTGAGAAAATTTACTTGCACTTAACTTAAACATATCCATTCCTAGGATAGCAATAAACCTTTATAGGATGTTACAGTGTAGAAGCAGACCGAGGTAAACACAGATTTAATAAGTCATATAACTAATACCTAATTGAGGTCAACTACCTAGTTCTTCATCACTCACAGATACAATAATAGTTCATCAACAAAATGAGATACTGACAAATATTTTCATCAAAAGAAAAGTGGAAGTTCAAGATTCTCAGAAAATCAACTACAGAAATAAAAATTGCCAACATAAACGTTTGCCCCTATGGTGCTTCAAGTTAATGCCGCTACAAATATGTCATGTTTAAGAAGGCATAAAAGAAACCTCAAGACCAACCGATTGAGCTACTTAAGTGGATAGTGAGACAAAATTTCTAGATTTTCCTAAATACAAACAATAAGCAAGTTGATCCTTACCAAAAAAAAACAATAAGTTTGTTTTTTTTTTTTTTTTTTTGGTCGAAAACAATAAGTAAGTTGACCAGACCGACAAATGTCACCAACCTCTAAAGTTGTGCCCTGAAATAATTCACTCGGGAGGAGACCAGATTGAGCATACAAATTTAGATATTGATTGATCTGCAAAGGATCCAGCACCACGAGCTTCAGTCAAACAATATCTTTCAGCTAATGTGATTCAATTTATAGTTAGAGAAAACCAGGAAATTCTAAAAGAAGGTATACAATAATTACACCTTGTCAAAACAAGAGGAAAAGGCATAAACAGAGAATACAGAGACATGATCCAACAATGCTAATCACCTGTGAATACAGTGGTATTCAGAAAACATTACCAATCCTCACCAAAAGTCTCGTTCGATATCAGACTTTCCCTATCATACTCTGTCATAGGAATATCTGCAGCAGGGCATGCTGCTATTGTCATTGGGACAGATTTTGAGTTGAATTCCCATTGAAATGCATAGGAGCTTTTGAAAGTCATCTAAAAATTGCTTAGCGCAAAGTTCTTGCAGGCAACACCAGGAAAATAATTTCTTTTCCATAGTGGCATCTATGAGCTGCTCTGTAATATGAACTATTTGATCTCCTGAATAGGCAGAAATGATGAAATTCCATGACCACGAGTCTGCTAATGTGTATAGACCTAAATGTATATGAAATATAACACGCTGAACAGGGATAAGTGCAATTGAAGTGACAGCAAATCAATTCATTGACAACCCCTGTCTGCGTGCATTACAGATTCGCAACTGAATCTTTTGATTCAGTTAACAGCCCAAACAATGTGAAGTTTTCTTAAGTGAACAATTAATCCTAAATTAAGTCAAAATATATAAGTTCATTATTGAATTTACTTCAGTGATATGAATCAATATATTCACCAAATTCATAAATTCCAGATTTTGATTAACGATTGTATCTTGAATGAAAACTATGCTAACAACATTCATACTTTTCTCTGGTTATTCGGATGAATTCTTTGCGCAGCAACTGGATCTATGTCTTTCAAGCGATCGAAGGTGAGAGCATTCCTATCTCTATTGAAGTCAACTTCACAATCGTCATGCTCGTCACCTGAGAGTCAACAAAGCATTCGTTAATGTACAGTAACCACAGGGGCACAAGCAAGATAATGACAATTACCAGGAGTTTCATCTAAGTGGCCATCATCCATGTGATCCATCGAATCATCCAGAAGAAACGGACTCACGAGAGCCTAGTTAGCAACAAAGAGATAAAAGAAAATTAACCAAGCACCCAAAGAGAACAAATTTCTCCCAGGATATACCTATTACTATAGATCCAAATTGAGTAAGAAGGTGATCTAAATTACGTTTTCCAGCAGCAGATACTTTACTGAAGATTTACATGGTAGGATCAGATAGAGCATCATAAGTACAAAAACTATGCAGGACATGTAGAGACATCAAATAGCTATTCTTTATCAGGCATTGGCAACTAAATAATCTCATAGTCCAGAAGCTGAGTCACTCACATTTAGTCAGGAAACTAAAATTCACAAGTTGACTCTGACAAGGGATGGACTTTAAAGTGACAGAAGTTAAGCGAACTCATCGTTACAATCTTGCGTGAATTTAGAGCATGAGGTGCGATTGAATTAACACTACAGCCCCCGTTAGTGAATTCACAGAGTAGCTACTGCAAAGTGCGAACACAAAGAACAAGCCGCAGGCTATTCAAGCAAATGAAAAAGAAGTACCGCGTACTCTACCTGGATATAGTAATTTGTACCCCCAACTATGACTGGCAAGTTATTCCGAGACAAGATCTCATCAATGAGCTGAAGTTCGGGAAAAACGCAAAAGTTTCAATCCCATCAAGACAAAGTTAATGAAATTCAACATGTCATCGTCGATTTTAAAGAAGGCGAACCCACAGGAACAGCAGAGTCCCTAAACGCCTTGGCCGTGGACTCCACGTTCGGGCTTACGGTGCCCAAAAGATGATGAGGCACTCCTGCGCAACATCCACCCAAATTCGTGAAAAACAGCTCCGAAACGGACCATGATCAAAAACACCCCGGCGCGCGCGAGGAGAAAGCCTCAGAAGGCAAGAGGGTTTCCGGGAACACCTTGCTGTTGATCGAGGGGGACTTTGTTGGTGAGCACGTCGAGGCCGCGGTAGACCTGCATGGAGTCGGCGCTGACGACCTCGACGGGGAGGTGGGCGGCCAGGTCGATGGCCAGGCGCGACTTGCCGGAGCCGGTGGGGCCCATTATGACCACCACCTTCGGCTTCCGCCCGCCGGACGCGGGGCCTCCGCCGCCGGGGCTCGAGCTTCGCTCCTCCGGTTCGGCGGCGGCGCCGTCGCCGTCCATGTCTTTCGGGGTGCGTTCGGCTGCCTCCGGGCCAGCTGAAGGAGGAAATCGGGTCAGCACGACCCGGGTCGAGGCAAAGTATTTATCCGGAGAAACGGACGGGCCAAGGAGCTTTATGCGTATTGGGCCTGGTTAAGCTTCCACAATACAAACAAAGCCCTTAAATTAATCACTCTTACTTCTGATTTTTTTATTATTTTATATTCAAATCAAAATGGATATAGTTTTTTCCGTTTTTTTAAATTTTTTTATTTTAAATTGAAATCAAAATGGCGTAATTAGCTTAAGAAATCTGCGATTGTTTATGTGGCCATATGAGTTGTGACCCTAATTAACTCGTTTGAAAATAGGTTAATACCATGAAAAACCCAAACTGGTATACATGTAACAATTTACCTCAAATTAATTTTTTGACCACAAAAAATCTCAAATCGGTACAAATGTGACAAATTCACCACATCTCTAATTGGTATATTTGTGACAAATTTATATTTCGTTATTTTCTGTTAAATTGAATTAATAACAAAAAACCACAAAATGGTATGCTTATGACAAATTTATATTCCGTTATTTTCCGTTAAATTGAATTAATGCCAGAAAAACCACAAAGTGGTATGCTTGTGACAAATGTATGATAAAATCTCAAACTGGTACAACCGTCAAGAGCCACTTGTTATCCAACTCAGTAATTTGATAGTAAAATTTAACGGAAACTAATGGAGAGTAAATTTGTCACATATATATTAATTTGTGATTTTACGTGATATTAGCCCTTGAAAATATGAGGGAATAATTTTTTTTTGAAGAAATTTATTTTATATATATATCTGGTCATGCATTCCTACTATATAAGGAGATCTTTCATCTTTCCTCACCGGCTGCTCACACATCAAATCACCACGACGGCCATGGACACACCCAACTCGCCGATCACCGGTCCACGACGGCGAAGTATCCTCCTGTTGCCCTGGTTAGCCCACGGCCACATCTCTCCCTTCCTTGAGCTCGCCAAGAAGCTGCTCTCTTCTTCTTCTTCTTCTTCTTCTTCTTCTTCACGCCAAAGCCCCTTCCTCATCTTCTTCTGCTCCACCCCCGTCAACCTCGCCTCCCTCCAAGCACTCCTCCCTCCCCATCTCTCCCCTTCGATCCGGCTCGTCGAGCTCCACCTCCCACCGCCGCCCCCTCCGCTCCCTGCCCTCCCTCCCAGCTTCCACACCACCCGCTACCTCCCTCCCCACCTCATGCCCTCCCTCAAGTCCGCCTTCGACGCGGCTGGCCCGGCCTTCTCCGACCTCCTCGACGCTTTCAAACCTGACTCGGTTGTCTACGACCTCCTCCAGCCCTGGGCCCCGAGAGCAGCCCGCGACCACGGCCTCCCTGGATTTGCGTCCCTCTTCTTGCCCTGCAGTGCGGCGGCAGTGTCGTTCTTGACCCTCCACAGCATGGACCCGGACGGGGAGTACCCCTTCCCGCCGCTGAGGTTCAAGAGGAGCGAGTGTGATAAGATCATGCAGTTCATGCGCGACAAGGACATTGGCACCAGGGACATGGACCGGGTGTTAGAGAGCATCAGGAGGTCTGAGGGCGCCATCCTGATCAAGACGTGCAGAGAGATCGAGGGTAAGTACGTGGACTACCTCGCGGAGCTTGTTGGGAAGGAGGTCATCGCCATCGGGCCTCTGATTCAAGAACCGGCCGGAGGTGATGCCAGAGACGACGAAGGGGAGATACTTGGGTGGCTGGAGGAGAGAGAGAGCGGCTCGGTGGTGTTCGTGTCATTCGGGAGCGAGTGCTTCCTATCGAAGGAGGAGATGGAGGAGGTGGCACGTGGGCTGGAGCTCGCGAGCGAAGAAGTGGGGTTCGTGTGGGTGGTGAGGTTTCCCGGAGGAGACACAGAAAGTGTGTGTATTGTTGAAGCTTTGCCTGAAGGGTTCTTGGAGAGGACGAAGGACAGAGGCATGGTGGTCCAAGGATGGGCCCCTCAGGCCAAGATCCTCATGCACCCGAGCACAGGTCTTTTCGTGCCAACAAAACTAATGCTATAGAGTTTAAAAACGATTTACAAAAACTACGTGTTAAATTGCAACTCAGTACATAAATAAGCGGGTCCCACTCAAACGTCCAAACAAAAGGGGTCAGAGTCACGCATTTTGTATACTGATCCTGTATTGTTTGTGCTGCCGTGCCACATATATTTTTCTGTGTTGCGACATCTATTCAATCTTGTGACACCATAGTTGGTGATATAACAGGTGGGTTTGTGAGTCACTGCGGTTGGAGCTCAACATTGGAGGCAATAGTCTTCGGCGTACCCATCATAGCCATGCCGATCCACCTCGATCAGCCCCTAAACGCCAAACTGGTGGCGGATCTTGGGGTCGGCGTGGAGGTCCGGAGAGAGGACGGCAGGTTCCCGGGGGAGGACGTGGCGAAAGTGATCAAGCAAGTGGTGGTACGTGAAGAAGGCGAGGAAGTCCGGAGAAGGGCCAAGGAACTGAGTGCGAGGATCAGGGAGAGGCAAGAGGAAGAGACGAGCACAGTGATGAAGAAGCTGGAACGACTTTTTGGAGGAACAACTTTCAATGTTGGCCAGACCGTGACTTGACATGATGGACCAAGATTTGGATTTGCTAGTTGCTGGCATAATTTATATAGTGGGAGGCATAAATAAGAGGAGGAATCAATGCTTTTCGGATGATGTTTCACGAATCTGATCTGGTTCATCTTTTCCGAACTCTTCGATTTCATGGTCAAAACAAAACAAAAAAACGCAAGAAAGCTGTAAAGACATTCAAAACGAGTTGACTACATAGATGTAAGCTAACTAGCTACATACTATGTAAGTGATGACTCTCCTTACCAAGGAGACAAAGTTTCATCCTTTCTAATCTTGATCTACCATGAACTCAATAAGGTTTTCAACCTCAAAGACACGTTCAAATGGACATCTACACAAATGTTTTGAGTTTAAGGGGGTGACACAGATATTGTGGACCGGGACCATTGATTGATTCAGATTTACTTTGTATATGATGCAGTTGATTCTGTACAGAAGTCTATAAATAGGCTAACTGGTATAGTCTTGGCATATATTGATTTCTTTGCTTAACTGAGATATGAAATGTATGGTATAAAATAGCTAAAGGTTTGCCTTTTCATTTTTGTGCAATTTAGGAGGACGGCAAACCAAAATCGATTTTAAGGTATTATTCCTCAAACTCAAACCAATCAAAGCGAAAAATTCAATTTCGTAAAAGGAGGCCTGTGCTTATACATCAAGAGAGAAAAGATGAGATACGCCTAGGTCTTTTCCAGTTAAGATTGCAGACGATTTTACAAATCTTGTGATCTATGGACACATTTAGACACTCCAATGTCAGATTAGATTAATCGCTCTTCCTCATTCAAAATGAATGGTTTTCAAGATTTTATTAACTATAAGGACCGAAGTGAGTTACATGTATTTACTGAAATAACTTAATCATTTTTTGGTTCTCGAGCAACTCTTTAAAATTGTAATTTCAGCTCCGGCTGTTGCAGAATTTCGCGAGAGCGAAAGGTACAAAAGGATCATGCATGCTTTCATAAACCATCTCCAGAAGCTATCATACGAAAGTTTCATGCTGTGATCTATTATTGACTTAGGACAATGAAAACGAAAGACACTATCAGTAACACATTATTAGTTTGTTCTACAGTAGAAGGAAAAAATCTGAAAAGTGACCTTATAGCCCACACTTCTCAAGTAAGTTCGCAACTTATCTGCAAAAAGGAGAGACCTTGAACGAGAAGTTAAAAAGCAAGTGGGCTTAATCCATCCGGTAATCATTCAATCTCCAAAGTTTGGTCTTAGTCTAACACGATGATCTCTAATTTGATAGATCATCCTCAGAGGCTCAGACGATGCGTTATAAAGTTTAGTGTCGGTTTGGATTCGAATTGCAATCGTATCCCTTACATGTCAACTATCTCGAGCCGACCGATCCAGCACTCCGTTATGGTGCGTATATTAAACCGAGTTTGGACTACCGTGGGACCCACCAAGTTCATGTAAACGATTAGTTTCTCGGAGTAGAGAGTGAACATGGGGGGTCCTCATGGAGAGTCGACACCTCACCGTATTATACTCGCCTTACTTCCTCTTTAGCTCTCCGACCACTGTCCAAAATTCAAAAATTCGTTACTCACCTTCCGTTGTAAGCAGTTGGTGTTTCGAAGCTGTTCGTGAGGCCCTGTTTTAATCCGTGTTAATCAAGAGATGATTGTCGGAAAAGATTTTGAAACCATCTAACTTCTTCAGGAGTCTCTCTTCTCTATATAACATAGCTTCTCCAAGCTCCCATTGATCCATCTCTCTCTCTCTCTCTCTCTCTCTCTCTCTCTCTCTCTCTCTCTCAATTTCTCTGAGAAAAACTTGAACGTCGATGATGAAATTCAAGTTTTCTTGCTTCTGCAAGGACGCGAAAGCGATCGCTGTCGTCAATCCTTCGCGTGCTCGCACTACGGCTTCAAGAAGCGCCTCCGTCTCTCCTTTGCTTCCGGATGCGTCCGCTTCTCTTGTCCCTCTTTTTCCCGCTTCGCTCGAAAATGATCACCATATTACTTCTCTTGCTCCTCCAACTCCACTCCCTAGTTCGCTTCGAACTCGAAACAACTGGGTTTACGAAACCGCCCTTCTCAATCACCACCACCTCACCACCACCCTCTCCTGGTACACAACACCGACCGGTAGCCGCGAACTTCTTGTTAGCCTTCACGTCATTGGCGGCGAGGACCCATTAACTCACTTCAAGTACAAAGTCTGCATAAACCCCAGCGTCTCTGAGCAGAACAGAGGCCAAGAACTAACCAAGTACGCGAGCTCCGAAATAGCGGTCGTCTGGGATTTCTCCCCGGTTAAGTATGACACGGGACTGGAACCGGTCGAGGGGTTCTCCCTTCTGGTCCTGGTGGACTCACAAGCAGCTTTTCTTCTCGGGGACATCTGGAAACAGTGTACCGACATGTTCCAAGTGCTCGATTTCTTTCTCGTCTCGCGAGCAGAGTGTACATTGGCCTGCGAAAACGAAAGACTCCATGGCATCGAGGCTCGGCTCACCGGAAATGGACCATTTGACGATGTTCTGATACAGTGCAGAGGAATAAAGACGGAGGAGGGTCTGGAGAAGAATCCAGTGCTGTCCGTTCATATCGGGAAGGAGCCTGTATTGAAGGTGAGGAAGTTGCATTGGAACTTCAGGGGAATGCAGACGAAGGTTTTGGCGGATGGCTTGGTGGTCGAGATTGCATGGGATGTACAGGCTTGGTTGTTCAGAGAAGAAAAATCAGATGCAAAAGGAAAGAAGAATCCACCAGAATTTGCGACGTTCGCTCTCATGACACAGCATCGATCCAGCTTTTTTCAGTGTTGATTCGCATGAACAGATGATACTTATTCCTGTCCCAAGCTTGTTTTGTGTTTTTCGGGTTCTTTTGTACTTCTTCCTATTGCCAAACATTGTTGCATAGTCTATGATGCTTTTTCTCTGGTAGTTGTTGAAGATGTAAATACTTCTATCATTAGAAGAATTTTATCCTTCTTTTGATCTTGTTTGGCTGGTGTAGAAGGTGGTGATAAGTCTTCATGGGTAAGAATTGCATCGGTGTTGTCTTTGTTGCGTAATGTTTGCTTGGATCATAACGATTCAATCTTTCAGATAATTTGAAAATTGTTACACAAATTTTGCATGGTATCAAAGTGGAAAAGGAAAGAGAGTAGCAGAAATGTATTCATGAAGTAATCAAAGGATTTTATTCTCCAGCATCTCTTATATAATGGTACAACAGCAGATTTCCAAGGAAAAAAACAGCTATACATTACCACAATATCACAGAAACTCAAAAATGAGGAATCAAGCCAAGCAAAATAACAGAAGAAAAAAGAATTATACTGGAAAGAAAGGGAGGAGGAATTATTTTCTGCTCCTCACCATATGTATTTGACCATATTGCTATACAGTCAGCAATCCTATGAGTCAAAAGCTCAAAAATTCAACTTCTACGAAACAAGATGTAACTTTCTCATCTCCTCTGGAAGTTCAGGAACTTGATACCGTAGGCGAAGATGAAGAAAAAGCCCAAGACCCAACCGATATGGGCCAAAGCCACGGGCACAAGGAAGTCGTAATCGAATCCCAGGCTCTCCTTCAGGAATACATCCACTGCTACTGATGGCAGTCCATCTAGTTCTAGCGGCGTCTTCTTGTCGCCGATCTGGGATGTGAAAATGCCGTAGATGGTCCAAGCGACGGGCGAGCACCAGTAGTACCACCTCCACCACACAGGGATCAGCTGCAATAATAGAGCATTTTTAGCATTCATATGACATTTCACAAAAGAAGATGATGCTCTCGATGAGAAATGAATGAAGACTAGAATTAGGACCGCGGGAAGGTGACTTACGGGTCTGGGAAGGAGGAAGCCCGAAAACAAGTTCCAGAAGTTGAGGAAGAACGACATTGTGATGGCAGCGATCTGGTGGCCGGGAGTGAGCGCGACAACCATCATGCCGTACATCGAGAAGTAGGTAAAGCACATGAATATGAAGTAGTAGAAGTACAAGACCTTGCCGAGCTTCCACTCGAAACCGATCATCGAGAAGAGAATGAGGGAATATATAACTGTCTGAACCGCCACGTAGATTGTCTCGATAGCCACCTGATACACAAAGCACACCAATCAACGACAGAACAAGAAAATACAATTGCAATGAAATGAATGAGATTCTGATTATCCAAAATGGACAAAAAGAATCATACCTGAGCAAATGCATAAGGCAACTCCGAATACATCCCAGCTGCCCGTTCACGGTAGAAGACGGTTCTTTCGATTGCCACAACAGATTGGACTGCTGCAGCATTAGTGGCTCCAAGGAAGATAACAGCAGAATAGGTGGCACCGAGTAGATTGATCAGATCTTGTTGTTTTTTTCTATCAAGATAAAAGGCACAGAAACATCATGTGAACGAACACTATAAGGTAATAGCAGCGGCTCGACATTCAGAAAAAGAAAATGATCTTTTGAATGCGATAGTTTGTGCTTACATTTGGTCTCCTTTGCTCCAGAAAATGACACCAAACATAAGACCAATGATGATCGTCATGAAGAAACGAATGGCGTTATACCGGGAGTTCCTCCAGTAGGACCAGTTCTGTTTGCAGAAGCAAGCATGGCATTGAGTTAGGAAGCCCTGGGAGTATTGGGTGGGGAAGTAAAGGTCTTTTGAACCGGGCTGTGGAGTGCTCAGCTCTTTGATGAGCTCCTGGTTTCTCCTGAAAATAAAAAACAGAACGGGGGAATGAGGCACCGAGTTCAGTGCACATGAATGATTGGAATTTGAAGAAATTACAAGGAGTGCACATCTCTCACCTATAGAGGTCAGAATTGGCATAGATTTCTGCAAAGTCGACTTCCAGTTGAGTTTCGACTGAAGTAGCAGTCACATCCAACACCCATGTTGCAGGATTGTAGCCTTCTTTGATCTTGGGGATGCCCGGAACAGCCTGCAATTGGTTTTAAGACATTAAACTCTATGCAGTTAAACCACATAGCCTCAATGGTAGGTGTAGTCGTGAATTTTTCAGTCATGCGGGTTTCTTAATTGAAGTTATAAGATAAGCACCTCGAAATATTCGACGAGCTTGTGAGACTGTTCACCGAGAGGCCCTGCATAAATGACTTGCCCTCCTCTTTTCATCAGGAGAAGCTGCAAGAAGAACACACATCCTCAGCTCAGGAATATCTTGAAGAGATAATCCTGAAAAAAACGTGAAAGGAACACGGAGTTCAATTATCCTAACCGTACCTCATCAAAAGCCTCAAAAATGTCTATACTCGGTTGGTGAATCGTGCACACAACAGTGCGCCCAGTGTCCACAGTGTTTCTCACAGTACGCATGACAATTGCCGCTGCTCTAGCATCGAGACCTGATGTGGGCTCGTCCATGAAAATAATCGAGGGATTAGCAACCAACTCGACAGCTATTGTGAGCCTCTTCCTCTGCTCCGTCGAGAGTCCATCAACTCCTGGAAGCCCAACTAGAGCATTCCTCAAGGGATGAAGCTCGACTAAATCCATGACTTCCTCAACAAACATCTGCAAAACCAAGAAAACTCGTGTTTAGTCAAAATTTCCACCAGGTCAATTTACTTGCTTGAAGGAGATGTTGATGAAGAAGATAGTATCGCAGTTACGTGCCTTCCTGGTTTCCTTATTTACGTCTTTAGCAAGACGAAGCCAAGCTGAGTATAAGAGAGACTCGTAAACGGTGACGTATGGCGAGTGAATGTCATTCTGCTCACAGTAACCGCTCACTCGAGCAAAAGTGGCTTGGTTCTTGGGATAACCGGAAACAGTTATGCTTCCTTCAATGTATCCACCAGTTTTTCTTCCTGCTAAGACATCCATCAGTGTGGTCTTTCCGGCTCCACTGACTCCAACCAGTGCAGTCAAAACACCCGGCCTGAAAGCTCCACTGACATCTCTTAGGAGTTGTAATCGGCTTTCCTCAACCCCTTGAGTTTTCATTTCCTGAAGCACACCAAAACAGAAATTTATTTCTGAATATTCGTTGGGTGGAGGTATTTTACAGTTTGCATTCTGATAAATATATTTGAAACAAACACTTTAACGACCAGATCTTCCCTAGCCTTTTGCTTTCTGACAAGTCACTCGTCTATATCTGTAGTTTTATGTGAAATTACGGAAGTACTGTCATTGTGTTAGGGCATGCTCATGTCATTTCATCGCTGCACGGAACTTGGGGAGTCTTAAGTTAGGGAGGATTCGACTTACCGCGGGCATATCCACATAGTAATTGACATGGTTGAAGGCAAGTGAAAGGGGCTGGAAAGGCAGAACCATTCCTCTCCTAGCCTGGGTGCTTTCGCTGACGATACTGTCGTTTGCTCGGGCATTTCTTACTTGCATAGGAGTACCTGTCCATAAAATTCCTGTCTTTTATAAGCATCTACATGTGATACTTTTTGAGGCATCATCCCAGATTTCTCTTTTTCTATAAATCCAGTTGACAGTCCTAACCACAGCAATTACATACCTTCTGATCTAGATTGTCTCCTCTTCTCGGAATCGTCATCCGCGAGTATCGCTTTATTATCACCAAGAGCTGAGATACAGTCGGAAAGCAATTAATCAGTACAAACTTTTCATTTTACTTTGCAAAAAGAAAACCAGATGATAGCATCTACTTACGATTTAAGAATGTCAATGCAACAGTGAAGAGAATGTTGAAAAGAATAGAGAACGCGAAAAGTGCCATGATACTGATCCAATACCAGCTCTCGGTCTTGTAAAGACCTCTTTGTGCTAGAAGGGCCTTTCCAACTGTGGGTTCAGAGGAGTTGGAGGGCAAAGGCTGCGACATCAAAAGAAGTTAGTTTAGATGTATCCTGAAATATTAACATCTTCAGAAGACTTTTGAAATTCCATCGTATCCTAAGCCTTGTAGAGAACTTACCGTGCTCCATCTCTCGGACAGGAACTCATTGATAGCAATGGCATTTTGCCCATACATCATGGGAGAGATATAGTAACCCCAGATCATCCAACTTGAAATGTCATCTGTCCACCGTTGCGCACATTAATTTTTAGAAGCTTATCACCAAAAACAATCTATTGGTGTGAAACATGAAATTTCTGAACACCGTTATCAGGGATTGTTTAGAATGACAATGCCAAGCGCCAAAAAGAGAACATTTCTAACCTTTCGCGACAATGAAACCACCAAGGATGAATACCAGCAGCAATGTGAAGGAACCGAGTGTGTTGGCGACTACTTCTGTTCTTCCTATAGCCGCTATGAAACGGAAGAGAGCGAGAGCCATCTGATTCACTCCAAAGAAAGCCAAGAATTGCTTGAAAAACCTGCACAAGTAGAAATCACCGAGATTTGTCAGCAAGAGGACTTACCAGAGATTATTTTCGTTGCACTATTGTTAGTAGCTTATAAACCAAAACAGAAAGGGCCAACTTATGAGAGAGCAGAAAAAGTGGTCATACCTAACAGGAGATGGGGCGAACCCAATGGTGTAGTAAGTGAGGATGACCCAAATTCCAGATTCAACTAGTGATACGGGAATTCTGAGCACCCAAATGGGCAACGCGAAAGCCCAGGCAGGGTAAAACAAGAAATCTCTCTGCTTGAAGAACACCGGAAGCCTGAACACCGTCATCGCGAGCTCAGTCAGCCCATTAAACATGACATTCACAAGACTGTAAAATAGAGCTCCCCAAAATCTTGCCCCGTTGATTATTTCGCCGGTCTTCATTTCTGTTCTGAGGAACACGGTGAATGCAATGACAGACATGATCGTGATCTGAGTGGTCTTGAAGATATACAAGAAAGAGCTGCG